CACAGCTACGATATTACTTAGAATATGACCTTGGCTGCATTACAGTTCTTATTCGAAACGTGATCAATATGTGCGTAAGTAGATGGGGAATTAATATGTAACATTTTTAATTACATTATGCTGAAGTGAACGAAATGACTCGGAAAAAGATTCGTTCATTTTGCTGAACGAGATTCAAAGAACCGAATCAGTAAAATGATCCGAACTTCCCATCACTAAACCGGATACTGACATGAAGAACCCAGCTACCAACTGATTGGACAATTTGACTCTGCTCTGTGATTGGACTGTCACTGTCCAATCGGATTCAGGTGTGATTCACACTAAATCTCAGTATTCCTAAATTGAAATGTATGTGCAATTTGCTACTTTGTGCCAGTAATGGGAAGTTCGGATCATTTTACTGATTCGGTTCTTTGAATCTCGTTCAGCAAAATGAACGAATCTTTTTCCGAGTCATTTCGTTCATACATCCAAATCTTCCCGACACATGCTCACAAAGATTGTGACCATGTACATACTACATTGCTATTTGTACCATTAAATTGCCATTTATTTGACTAGCAGGCAGTAATGGGTCACACTTGTTAAGATTGGTGTAATATGCAGAAACGAGTCTCACATCAAGGAGAAGCTATCAGGTGTCCTGTAAACGTACCGTCAGGGGCGACTGCTGCTTGGCCTTAGATATTACTGTTTGTGAATCTGTCGGAAGTGACGTTTCACCTCAGGATGGTGAAAAAAAAAAGCTCTTCCGGGTTGCAAGCGAGAGCAGACGTCTTTACTGCTCCTCTTGTCTGTTCTACGATTTTTCACATCTTCTACATTGTCAAGTCTTTGAACAAATTCTACAATTACTAAAATGCCTCCAAGAGGGAAAAGAGCTAATATATCTGAAGCGAGCGAGGATGTTGAGGCTAAAGAAGATTCTATTTCAGCGGCGCAAGTAGCTGCCATGACGAATCAGCAGAAGATTATGTTCACTGCGCTTGTGTGCCAACAGCACCAGAGTTTCCAAGGCTTTGTGAATCTAATTATGGAGACAGATAACAAGAGATTCGACGACTTGGCCAAAGAAATGCAGGAGATAAAAACGAGTTTGCAGTCTACCCAGCGAGATGTGGACGCGATTAAAGCGACCGTGGGGGTGCAGGAAAAAATTGACGAAGACACTAGGCGGGACATCGACAAAACCCGCGAGAGTCTAATAACTATTGCGTGTAAAATGGAGCAGTTGGAAGCACAGTCCAAGCAAAAAAACCTGATCTTCGAGGGAATCAAGGAGTCAGCTGGAGAAAGCTGGACGGAAGCGGAACGGAAGGTGAAGGAGATTTTAAAGGACAGGGAAACGTTCTGATCGGAGACCAAGGGGGATGATGGTTAAGTTGAAGAATGAGAAAGAGAAGACAAACATTCTGCAGCAAGCCAAGGAGCCTAAGGGGACCAAGATTTACATCAACGAAGATTACCCCGAGTCTGTGAGGAAGAGAAGAAAAGAGTTGATGCCAATGTTAAGAGCGGCTAGGGAGAGAGGAGAAATCGCGTTTCTGCGATACGATAAACTGGTGACCCGACCTCGGAACCAGGATCTTGGACCCATGACCAGCACGCCGAGACAAGGAGAGTATGAAGGGGCCGCTGGACCCTCAGCGGTATCACTAGCGTGGTGTAGAACAAAATTATCTATGTAGTAATACTGCTTGCAAACCAATGATGATAAGATGATGTTAGGGGGTAGGACTAGTTAAGTCTAACTTCTTCCTACTCCGTTCAAGCATGTACTAGGTATAAGCAAATTGATAATGCATTTGTGGATATGTGTGAAATTATGTGTTGACAAATTGACTGTTGTTACATGTTTGAAAGAATAAATCAAATCAAATCAAATATTGTGTGCCACCACTAAAGGGCAGCCTTACTGTGCAAAACTGTAGCTTATTCCTACCATTTATTTTTTAAATAAAATCTAAAACTACTAATATTTAGTATGAATAAAGAGGGGTTTCAAATAAATACTGTTCAGAGATAAATGTAAGAATTTACAGTTTTCAGCTGCTTTGGTAAGTCTAGCAACGCAGCTTATGGCACGCTGTCAAATGTGGTTTATATCTAAGGAATCAGAACCAAGTGATGTATCTGTCCCATAATCTTTAGTCAACATATGTTTTGTTTTCAGTATCTTTGTCACATTTTTTTTTTTTTTTAGTTCGAGCATCTTTGTGTTTGATTGAACAAATGAACGAAATGAGCAACTTCAAGATGTTAGTTGAGGGTCTTGGAATTTGCATGTTTCACTGGTTTCTGGTATTGTACTGACAAAATGATTAGTTGGAAAAGCAGCTGGAGGGAGAGTCAGAAATCAAGTGGCATTTCCAAAGAGTACCAAGGAATCTGTACCTTAAACACAGATGGTTAAATGTTAAGGATGTGTGTACTCTCTGTTTTTCACCTTTTGGCTAAAAGGCAGGCATAGTCGAAGTGTAAGACTGAAAGCAGCTGAAGGAAGAGATGAATGCAGGCCAAAAAAAACAATAGTTAACATTAAGTAGAGAAAACCGTTGAAGAGAAAAATCGGAGCGCTCCACTTTCTTACACACTCAGGCTGCAACTTTATGTCAGACATGGTGTTCATGGGATTCAGTTTATTTCAAACTGCCAACACAGCCAAAAAAATAAATAGTGGACACATTTCAACAGACATACAAATACACACATTCCTAGTAAAACCAGTCGAGTTTAGTGCAAACAATAACTGTGTAACTGATGAATGAAAATCACAAACAAAGAGTGCAACATAAATGAGCTAAAGCAAATTTGAAAAGGGGGTTATGGACACAGCAGAATAACCCCATGCACTTTAACTGTAATTCTATGAACTCATCGTCACATGTGTAAAGTGTTAACAGTGTGGTTTGTCTCAAGCTAGGAATACAAGTCATGCCAACAAACATAACCTTTGTGGTCAGGTATCACAAGACACATGCATAAGTCTATATTTTGTTAGAAAACAGTGATAACGAATTACTTGTTACTTTTGAAGACTTAAAAAAAAATTAGACCTGGTCTAATGATATCTGCAAAATAATTTCTTGTGAGGGTTAAATCGATCAATCAACACAACTGTGAGAGAATGGGCTGAACTATACTTACAGTATACAGTTCACATAATAATTGTAAAAAACTGAATTAAAAAGTAATTTTTTTTTTTTTTTTTTGCAAATACTGTTTGACCCTGGTCTGGTTTGGTTGCTTTGATGCAAGAGTTTAAACATTTAATATAGCTGTTCAACTAAATCATGTAGACTAGAGAGCTTAATAATGATTTGAGTTTGATTTTGGTCATCTTGTTCTGTCTCTCACTGGATTTTATTAGGAAAATAGACATCTTTAGTTTAGTTTCTTCATTATTCCTGAAGTGTGCAAAGACTGCAAAAGCTATGAGTTAAAAAAAAAAGATTTGCTTTAACCCCTGTTTAGCATTTGTAAGCATTATATAAACATTTCTGACAAGCTATAATGTGGTTGTAAGCAAATGTCTGTATTTAATGTGTTTTTTAACAACAGTATCTCCTCCTACGGACACATAAATGGGGGCTGCTATATGAACAGATAATGAATGACAATATAGTAAAACAGTTGTAACAAAATATTTCTTCATAGAACTGCTAAATGTACATTATAACTGAAAATATCTACATTATAGTGTGTTATGCAGTTAATTTTTAAATGTTCATATAGTGCTATTAATTGCTAAATACAGCCGGGGGGAGCAGTAATGGTAGATCTAATAGCATCACTTGAAATGAATGTCCATGCAATCTGACCACTAACCCAAAGCTGTAGTTTGGGGGGTGTTTTATGGCATTTTATTGCTGTCTACTCAGTTCAAGGATGGAGTCCAGATACTGATCATTAGGTTTGTCAGGCTTGCTGCAGATTGAATAGAGGATTTAGACAGTTAGTGTTACTCATGACTTGTGGGGGAGTTACTGTATTTCAGGTGGTGTCTGCTTCTCTCCTCAGAGCTAGGGTGGAAGGTGGCGAGCTGTACTTGAAGATCAGAATGAATTAGTGAGGAGACTTAATGCAGTCGGACCTTCAAAGTGCCTTCTGTTCCCTCCGCCTTCCTTCCTGTGGTATGACACTCCTTGTACTTTTCTCACAAGTCAGCATCGACCCTCTGTGTCTCTCCAGTTCCCTCATCCACACATCCATCTCTCAATCTTTCTGGGCTGGCCACCTCCTTCCTGTCCTTCCTGCAGCCTCTCAGGCCCCCAGCAGTTTCTTGACAATGTAGCCTGGCATGCTGTAGAGGAAGAGGCCCAGCATGATGAGCAGCAGCAGGGCCAGCACGATCTTGATGATCAGCCACTTGTAGCGGTTGCACACCAGGTAGCGGATGGCTTTCAGCGGGCTCAGGAACCACAGGAAGGTGGTGTCCGGACGACTGGATGGAGGTTTTAGAAGAGTAAAGAATTTGGTGAGGAAGGCATGCAGGTGGGTGGAGCGATGAGTTGAGAAAGGGTAAGTGAAGGCAGTGAGAAATGGAATGAAACATGGGTGGAATAAAGGAGAGAGAGAGGAAGCATGTATTAGTGCTTAGTACGCTCTTACATTTATAAGAAATATTTTAATACAGCAAGCTCACAACCTACGTTAGCATAATGTAATGTTGGACACAAAGTTCACGTCACAGAGTAAAAACTTAACAGTAAAAACAAATGCACAATGACTATCTTGATTAATGGATTGATGAGATGACTGACCAACAGCTCCAAACACTTTGTGCCCTGCACCAAACACCTTCTGCACCCCTGAAGGGTAATTTAAAGATATTTTGGTAGTGCCTTATTTTACAGGACCATAAATTCCTGTTTGTTTCCAAATAATCTCCTAAGATGTTTCCTGGAAAGAATCATATTTGGTAGTAATTATAGCATGCTCTAGAGATGACAGCAAAATGTGGAAATTGTCTACTAACATACAATTCAGCATAAATGAAGAAGAAGGTTTCTAGTAATAAATGAATATTAAATATTCACTATTGTTTAAATCAACTAATTTCTTTCATGGAAATTCATCTGGAAGTCTGGAAATAATAAACACAACTTAACTAAGTGCACTAACTAAAATAACAGTCTCGAGACTTTGCTGCTTTTCTCCGTAGCACACAGCTGGTCATGTTAAGGTGTGTAATGGCACATGGTGGCAAAAGACACTGGCTAGACAAGACAGAGAAGAAACTACTCTACTGATAAGACAGCAGAGAAGAGGGACTACAAAGAAGCTGGGTTTGGCAGCACAGAACAGGAGGCGCTACATGTAGGACAGGAGAACCCAGGAGGTGAGGGGTTAAATAGAGAAACAGAGACAGCGAGGAGGGGGCGGAGGCTACCAGCGCGTCAGGCCCCCAGCATCTTCTTGACCAGGTAGCCAGGGATTGAGTAGAGGAAGAGTCCAGCCATGAGTAGCAGCAGTATCAGCCCTAGGGCCTTGAGGATCAGCCAGCGGTAGTTGTGCCAGATGAAGTAACGGATGGACTTCAGAGGGCTCAGAAACCACATTAGACTGGTGTCCGGGCGACTTCGCGGAAGGTGGTAGAGAGGGAGCAAAAGAGAGTAGAAAGGAAGGAATGCAGATGTAGGGGAAGGGGTAAGGAGAAGCAGAGTAACACACAAAGGAGGGAAGAGGAGAGACAGAGGGAGACAGTTGAAGAGATGGTAGGAGGAGAAACGAGTGCGAAAGTGTAACAGCGGCTTTTTGATAGTGCAGAAAGCTGCACTAGGGTCAAACAAGACCACACCTTATGGAATCATGTCAAATGTTAGTGGTAGCGACTTTCAATTCTATGGTTGGATGCACTACTTTTTGCACTGAGAATGATTTTCTTAAAAAGAAAATTTAAGAGTTCACTTGCTCATACTGTATGTCATTCCGCATCTGTTGTTTTTTTTTTTTTTTTTTTTTTTTGCTCCACACAACTATCCTCATTTTTCATTTGGGAAAAAAGTGTGTTTTGGTGTGAAAAGACTCAGTAAACACAACATGTCAGTATCTTACTTTGGTTTTTCCAGTGGATCTGGTTCATTTCGTCCCAGTCCTACAGGACTTTTCTCTGCTTCTTCTGCCATCACCAGATGAAGTTCAGCCTCAACTTTACCCTGTAACAACATTGAAAATTATACAAATAGACAGAAATATTTTCTTCCCTTGTATTTTGTGCTTTCATGTCCCAGCTTTTCTATACTATTCTTCTTCATACTGCTGATTTTACATTAAATAAAACTCCCTTGAAGGTGACTTTCTGGTGCTTTGAAGTGATTTATAAAGCAAATTCACAGGGATGATTTCACACGTGGTACCTAACAACAATTATTACTGTAGGTTCAGTTTTTCTTGACTGTCTTACCGTGAGCTCGATCTCATCATTCTCATCACGGGCAACAAATGGCCACCAGCCTTTCACTCTCTTTTGTTTGAAGATGGAAATCGTGGGAAGCTCCTGCTCGTTTCGGATCATATTGAGGGAGCATTGCTTGGCTGTCTTGGCCCCACGTGGGAACCGGTTCAGGTCCAGCTCAATCGCACCTGGAAGAAGTGATAGTCAAAGCATTCAGACAATAAGGATAGGGATACTTTTAGAGCGAAAGTGCTGCTGCTGAAAACAGGAAACAAAAAACAGAAATGACCCAACCAGCATTTGCATTTATCAGTCCTCACCGAGGAAATCATCAGCAGAGAAGTGATCGGCATCCCAGACCTGCAGCGTGAGGCGAGGAGGAATCTTGTATTCTGTCTCATCCCAGGAGAACATGGACTCTTTCTTCGAGATTACGATCTTCTCTTCAGCAATGAGGTAATTGAAGGGGAAGACAAAGCGCCAGTTAAAGTTTCCCTCACCGGTCAGGGAGTGATAGTGCACATCTGTGTCCTGTCTGTCCTCCTGCTGCCCTTTAAGCCACCTGTGGGAAGGTCACAGACAGGTAAGACTCTTACATGACAGCTGGCCTTTAGGATCATGGTTTAGTGAGATAGGTAGATACATTTTTAGCTAGATTTTGTTAGTCATGCACTTCTAGGTTTTAAAATGTAGGAAACAGCTACGTATTGTCTGTTAGTTATTATAGTTTAATTTGTTTAATTTGTTCAATTTAAACAAGAGCATAGGGCATGTTACATGTACCAGTGTGCTAACAAGAGAGATGATGCTAATAGGCCAAAATTCAAACACAATGTGGCTCTCCATAAGAAAATCAGATAAAAATACATGTATGTGTGTGTGAAAACATCAAAAGTGTTCTCAAGTGATCCATAAAATTCTGATTTGATGTTTTACAGTTTTCAAAGGCATGCGCACAAAAAGCTTCCACAAATGTCTTTAGTAAAATTTATCCTAAATATTTTTGTTTACATGCAGACAGCATGTGAGATATGTCTGGAGCTCTTTCATTAACAGGTGAGTGAGGCTGGCTTCATTTAGTCAGGAGGAGTGGGAGAGAAGCTACACTGTTTTCAAAAGGCAGCACTGAAAATACGAAAAAGCAGACAAGGGAATCAGCTTCAAACGTCTTGATAAATACAGAGGACCTCTGACATGTGGAGGAATGTGCTGTGATTTGGTAACTGAGATGCACTGGTACATTAAAGCTTCACAGAGAAATTTATACTTGGCTACAGAGGGGACACCGTCACTAAATCTAATCCAACTGAATCACTGCTACTGTATCACACCAGACACAACCCCCAATTGTTCACTGTCAGTGTAGGACAGTCGGATTAACCGGTACAATCTACAGCACAGAGCAAAAGGGATCTCGATTTTTAAGATCCTCCAGCTGTTTAGGGTTGTTTGAGGCTGATACCCTGTTTGATACAGTTCTGAGGTGACACCACAATCAGCTGACAGAGAAGAGAGTTTAGTTAAGGATGCAGGAGTGAGGAAACTTCACAAAACATAAAAAAAACTTTCCCCAGGAATAGATAATCTAAAGCATCTTGGACCTTTTTCATAGGACACATTTTTACATGTTGTGGAAAGAAAAGCACAAATGTAATTCAAGTCATAAATAATGGCAGCATTACAGTCAGTTTCAGTTCCAGTATTATTGTGTAGGCTGCGTTGACATGGGTTACTAAGGCCCTTGTAGCCATTATTAAAGTTATTAGTTATGTCTGTGTTTGTTCACACTCTAAAAACTGTATTTGCTCTCTTTTCTATTCACTTGAAGATCATATGGCATACGAGGCATGCGTTGCCAGCTTTGCTGTGATCTCCCAGGCGACTGGGGACTTACAAGGTCATTTAACATTGTGCCATTGCCTTGTTTTTTTCTACAATATTACACCACAGTACAGCTTTGAACATACAGCTACACTATAAATATTACTCTCAAACACTGTTTACAGCTTGTAATCCCAGTAGTTTGAATTTTTAACCCACATTGTAACTACATCACATGCACAATGCTAATGACTATAACAAGTCAAAATGTCTGCCATGAGGAAGGTCCAGCATTGTGACCAGGCTGCAACATGACAATGTGGTTACAAACAGTGCAGCTCTGACATACTGCCATGCATAATGTTTACATCCTGTATATACGTCCATGCAAGAGCCTCCAAATACTCTTCAAAAGTTTTATTACAAATATCATGAAAGTCTTTATATAAAGTATGGCAGTTTCTAGTAAAATCTGCAATACAGGGCCAAACCACACAAAATTAATTAATTAAAAAGAGGGAACGGAGCAAACTCCATCTGCTGATTAACACATTGAGATGGATGCTCCAGAAGAAGCCAATAGGTGGACTGTAAAGTTTTAGCTTGTGCACATCATCTGAATGATTTGGCCTATATACCATGTGTACATTTGTAAGCATAATTATACAGTATGGTTAAAATGGCACTCAAGTTGTTTATGTGGCTTGGTTTTGACTGAACTTATTTTTCCACCTGGCATTACATTTCAGTGTGCTGTTTGGAGAATCAGAGACAAGCAAGGTGCGTGCTGGATGGAGTTGAAACAGAAAGAACGGTGGGAGCTGAACGAGCCATGCGATGGGATCGTATGTTTACCCCCTGACATAGATGTCAGACATCTTCTCTCCTGTCATGAAAGCATCGTCCTCTAGTATTACGTCATCAGTGTTCCAAATAACAACACGAAGCTCAAAGCTAGACACCATCAGTGCAATGACCAGAGAAGAGACAGACAGACAGGAGACACACCACAGACATGACACAAACACACACGCACAAACACACACAAAAAAGGAAACAAAACAAAACAAAAAAGTAATGGTTAACTGCAAACAAAAAAATCCACACACACCTCACACCCATGGGACGAGGTGTGGTCACCTCGTCCTGCTGTACCTACCCCCTGACAAATATGTCACTGGACTTTTCCCCAGTGAAGTAATCATCATCCTCCAGTATTACTTCGTCTGTATTCCAAATAATCACCCTGAGCTCATATCTGGTAAGTGGGGGAGGAAGGAACACACACAGTTGGACTTGCATTTGACAGTAATTAGAGCTAACTAGTCAGACAGACTCACCATTTTCTAACCTGGGGATAAAACTACATATTCTGTTGAAAAAAACTGAAAACACTTAGAGTGCAATGAATGCAGTTTCCATTTAAATTGGATTGGATCAGAAAACATGATTCATAGCTTCCCAAATTGCTCCAGTCAGGGTATACCTCTTTGGTTTCCGTGGTGATATGTCAATAGCAGGTCCAGGAGCAGGCATGTCCATAGGAAACATGTCCGCCCACATTTCAATACGGCCCTTTAAAAGAAATAATAGTTTAATAACTATTGAACTGATGGGGTTCACGACCCTAGACAGGGTGGCTTATTCCTACCTGTTCAATGCCAGGTTTGTCAGGGTGCAGCAGGGACCTGGTCTCCACATGCTCAGGGACGAGCTTGCAGCCCACTCTCGGAATCTCCTCCCAGTGGTTCAGCACTGACAGGGCCAGATGTTCCTCAGTCTGCTTCTTCAGACCTGAGAGAGTGGCACAAATGGAGGACAGGAAAGAGAAAAAAGGAAAAACAATCAAGCAAAAAAATATATTTGCCGAATAGCCTGATCTCAATTTAAACTGCCAAACATCTTGAAATTATTAGGAAAAATTCAGATATACCATTCTCCTCTTCAATCTCTGTTGGTCCATGGAAGATTCGATCTGCCACCTTGACTTTGCCTCCAGGCCCATACTGAGGTGCATCGATCTTGCCATCCTTACAGAGCTTAGCCAGGATCTGACTGGGCTTCAAAGGGTCGCGCCAAACATTGTATCCATGGCTAATCAAATTACAAAATATGCTCAATTTCACACAGTATTCATACAGGTGCTGAGTTCCGTATGGTGACACTATAACAAAAACCAATAACTACAACCTGTAAAGGTACATTGATGCTTACACAGAGTAGGTGGATGAAATGCCACAGGTGGCTCTGTACTTGCTATAGAAACGATTCTCCAGGTCAATCTTTGTCTCTCCAATCAGGTCATCGGTGCCGACCAAGTCCCAGTCATACACAGACACTGTTAGCATGGACTCCACGGGGAACGTGGCCTCAATGTCAAATGCTCTGAACACAGACAAGCAGGAAAAAGAATTGTGTTGCTAGATTTTGTTATCGTGTCTTAAGCTTCGCACAAAGTGGCAAAAGACACTACTCATTTTTGAATACTACTCTTAATTTTGATCAAATAGAAAATATTAATTTTTACTTGTTTTTCTCCTATTTGACAAATAGGCAGATTTTCTCCAGCACTACCAACATACAACACACTGAAATTAAATGAACAGTAGCTTTCTCTCAACTTACTTGCCAAATACAGGATTGAGCTGTTTGGAGATGTAGTTCTCTTTGTCTTTGACCTCTGACTTGCCCAGCTTGATGACAATATATGGATCAGCCTTCCCATTTATATCAGCAGGATGAAGATCTGTAGCCTGAGATAGAGGACAAGAGGACAATACAATACAGAAACGTAGGCTATCTTAAGGAAGGAGCCTGAGACAGAAGTTACCTTTTTCTCTTTTATTTTCTCACACAGGCAACCGCACTAACAGCCACAACACCGAACAATTCCCGCCCAGGCCAAACTAAATACATCCTGCCTAGAGGGGCATTATGGGTGACCCCACCAGGTGTCTTTCTGCCCCCAGTACAATACAAGGACAGAATATGAGAGAGTGGGTTTTTGATTTTTTTAATTGACTTAAATGGTTCCTCACCCTGACCACATAGACACGGACAAGGACGTTGATCGGATCATTATGCGGGATGCTCTGGAACATGCCCATATTAGGATCAAATCCCGCCTCCCTGCTGATCTCCCCAGGCAGAGGTAGCTTGTACATACATAAGGATCCCTGGGTGACAGAAACATAACAATAAAGGTGCATTTGTAACTGTGATTTGAGTAGGGTAGGCATGTATGTGTTTTTACTAAAGTGTTTTCTCACCTTGAATCTTCCAACAATTCTGTCATCATCCAGAGTGTGTTCATCGTCGTCCCCAGCTTTTCCTCTGTACAGATTGAAAGTATGAAGCCAGTCTTCAAAGTTGCCATACTCACTCTCCAGCTCCTTGTTGTACACCTGCACAGGTCATCAAATACATAAAGCATGTGCATGTACATTATTGTGTGCTGCTTCATTTTTGTCAAAGTATGAATCATACTCACCACCAGCTCGTCCAGTTTGACTTTAAACGGTTGTTTCTCCAAACTGTCTGCAGCCTGGCTCTTTTTCTTGTCCTTGGAGCTCTTCTTCTCTTTGCCCTTTTCCTTCGTCCTGGAGCCTTTCAGAAGAAGGTCATCAGGTTTGATATCTGATAGGAGGTTTAATGGAAGTGAAGGTGGACAAAGTAGGGTTGGAGTCATGAAGTGGGGAGGTAGGGTTGCACACGTACCACTTAACATGAAAGCTGACTGTTTATCAAGGGAGAAAGATTCCCTGAAATCATGTTGTAAATGTCGCCAAATGTTCTTGAGCTCTAGAAAGGGATTTGCAGAACCTAAACTAACTACTGTAAATGCCACCTGACTTCCAGGCATTCAACTTCTCACTTTGCTATAGTTCTGTACAGGTGTAGTCCAGGACTACACAGGTGAAACAAACAAACAAGCAAAAATGAGATGAAAAGAAGGAAGCACATACAAAACCTTTGCATGTTCTGTACTTGAGCATGCAGAAGACCTCAAATAGACTGAAGATGTATCTGAAAACATTCATTCACTACTCCTTTTATAACAGGCACTCGATAATGTACTTACTTACAGCAAATTTTGACGTATGAATCACTGTCATCACTGCCAGACAGTCAATAATACACAATTAAATGTGCCAAAGAATGGGAGAGCATTCATATGGAAGCTCAGTATACGAGTGAAATGTTTACCCATTATTTGGTCCCAAAGAGAGGGGTGTCAGGCCATGCTTTGATAAATCTTCAGAGCCCCATGTTCAGCAACACCATTTTCCAGACCTAGCCTGAACTCAAAGCATCCCTGAATCCTATCCTCACCCAAGCAAAAGCAGATATCAAAACAGCAGAAACTCAGGCACAATGGCAGGCAGCCCACTTGGTGTTCAGTACCTGCTGCCTCTGCTGCTATCTCCAGGTCCTCTCTCTCCTCTGCTTCTGCCTGAGCCACTTCCTGGGCTCTGAGGGTCTGGAAAACAGAGCATGAAAAATGTTGTCAGTCTAAAATGACTTCAGGAGTGAGGGCAATAGTAGAACAGATTAGACTAAAACAGACAAACCTCCTTCAGTGTCTCTATTGAAGCAAAATATTTAGACCACCAGTCCAGCACACTCTCGTCTGCCTCATCCTCTTCCTCCACTCCCCCCTTCTTTTTCTTCTTCTTCTTCTTCTTTTTCTCTTTGTCACCCTCTTCCTCAGTCTGTTAAAATAACACAGATATTAAAGTAATTCTTAGTAGCATCGGTTCTTACTCATAATTAGGCACCACCTACAGTTGAACACGTTTTTTCACTGCCAAATTTCTCCATGAATGGTTACTCACCATGTCAACTTTTACAACAGCGTCAGACATCTATGGTAGGGGGCGTTACATAAAACAGTACAAGGGTTAATAGACACAATGGATGATGCAGGTAGGAGCAGCACATGTACAGATGCAGGTAAAAACAACTGGACAAAGCAAAGCCACTGCTCCCACCATTTACATAGTATATAAACAAGCAAAACAAACAAATATACTATAAAATTGTAGGCAATGCTTTATTCTGCAAAAAGAAAATCTTACAGCGTCTAACTTGACCACAGTGTCCATCTTTCGGATGGGAGGCTCTCCATCTACGTTGACGATGATGTCACCTGGAGGGTGAGAGAGGGTGTGGGAGGAAAGGCTGGGTGAGGAGCGAGGTTGGGAGCCGCCATTGGTAAGGACCATATAGCCATTCATTAGCTTAGCTGGAGTGAGGCAGAAGGACAAAGACAGTAGCAGGCGGCAGGAGAGGACAGGACAGCCGAGGACATGCAAGAGGAGAAGATAACAGATGGAGGGAGGATACAGGCAGGAAAGGTATTCAGGGCAGAAAGCAAGCAGAGAGATCAGCAAAGTTAATAAAGAATGAGTTCTCATTCTTCAGTGACCAGGGAACTGGAGTGGAAGCATTTAAATAATTTAAATATAATTCTTACAGTTTGTTTTAACCTTCCTTGAAGTACAGTATCCTGTGACTGTCTAAAGCTTTCAGGGGCCCCGTCCAACTGGCATTTCAGAAAGGTTAAAACAAAGATTGCAAACATTTTTTCACCCATGTCTGGCAAAGATCTACATCTTTTATGAGAAATAAAGAAAGCCCAGAACAGACAAAGGTATGAAGAAAAGAATGTTTCAAATGTGTGCTTGTTTCCCCAGAGGAATCTCCAGAAAAAGGGAGAACACTCCACTGTGAGGAAAGCTCTGGTCATTATTTCCAACTAATGGACTGATGTGCTTCATCTTGACTTCATCAGAGAATACAGTATGTGACAGCAGTAAGCTCTCCTTCTAAAATGACATATCATGCAACTCAATACACTCATTTTTCACCTAATAACAGGAACATCAAACACACACATTGTGTTTCCATAACTTCAGGGGATATCCTTGGAGATAAATCCTAACCTTAAACCAAGGCATTGCTCTAATATGTAAAGATTTATGGTTTGGGGACCTGCTTTTTGTCCCCATAAGGGCATCAAGTCCTCACAGTGTGACTGTGTGAACAGATTTACACCCCCACATGGGTAATACCAGACCACACACACACACAAACACACACAAAACAACATTTAATAGACTTGATAGATAAAATGAATCCAATCATTTAATTGTTAGTACCTGCAGTGGCCCATTTGTTTGAGGTCTTGTCTGGGGGGCTGTAGATGAAACGTCTCAGGCTGGTGACAACATGGGACCCTACCAAGATGTAGCGGCCAAATGCTCTGCAGTCTACCACCCGGATGTTGAGAGGAGGGTGGAGGAGCTCATTTTCTGGAAGGTCCTGAGTTCAAAATTAAAAGACAGAAAAGCAAAAACTACCAATTTCAAGTCAGGTTTTATGTTTATTACAAGGAATAAGATGTAATATATAAAATACAACTTGGTCTAAATATCAAATGGACAGTCACACTCACCACCTCAAACCATTTAACCAGGGTGCTAAAGTTGGGGTTTTTCTTGTAGTTCTGGATGAGTGCAGACTGCACACCTCTACCGGCACATTCTATATCCACACGGGGTCGATCCACCAGAGCCAAGTTAATCCTCTTCAGGTCCCTTAAACCCCAGAACAAAACCTGAACCAGAGAACAGCAGCAGTGAGGAAAGATCATCTTAAGATGTGAAAACACAGAGCTCGTAATTTAAATCTCACCTCTATGCGGTAGTGGCTCAGGACAGGTCGGATGCCTAAGGGCACAGGGACGATGGGTCCTCGCTCTGTGTCTGTTGGTTCTTCAATGGGGGGAAGGTCTGCCCTGCCTCCTTGGCCAATCTATTTGAGGAGAAGACACAAGAGCAACAGGCTGCACCATATTACATTTATTTGCTACAGTCCTAATATCAGTACTAATTCATTATTTGCTTAGCAACAACTTTGAAGAAATGCAGAAAAAGTAAAAGTTAATGTCATGTTGGTAGAAAACAAAGATAGTTACTGCAGTACAAACACTGATGACAGAGTAGCCACAGAGTAAGACAAAGAGAAACTGACAGAGAATGAAAAGAGCACCTTTATCTGAGGAACAGCAAAGTTATGGACAGCAATCAGAGCTTGCCTAATCTCCTCCGCATCAAAAGGAATCTGTAGGCAGCAGGAGCAGGCACAGGAAGGAGGAAGAGACAAGGGAAATGGGTATTTTAAAAGTGAAAAAATAAAAAAAAAAGAATATGTTAGTGGATGGAAAGGAAGGAGGAGAATGGTGGCAGAGAAAACAAGGAAATGGCAATGTTAATAGGCAAGTGGAAATGTATAGTATGTATGAATAACAACTGAGAGGAAGAGGATGTGATGATGCAGGTGGGATTAGAAAAGGCTGCAGGTTGTGCAAATAGGCAAACAGCAAGAGATGACTTTTAAAACAGAGACAAGAAGGCAAAGAACACAAGACACGAAGAGTAAAAACCCTATTTTTGATACTTTTAGAACAAATTCTGCTTCACATTATTAATCAGTGCATCAAAATCTTCTTTATTCAACTCTCTGGTGTGATCTCTTTACTCATACAAACAGCCTCTCATAAAGCATACCTTATAGAGTTTTGTGTGTATGTGCATTCATATGTGAAAGCAGTCATTCAAGTGTTCTTGCATATCTTACCTGCAGCAGTTCAAAGGCAGCCAGCAGTTCCCCAGCGCTGCAGTTCCCTCTGTAAATCTGGTAGTACTCCAGCTGTGGTGGGAACCTCGGGGGGCCGTAGTGCTCGTCACACATCTTGATGGTGGGCTTTGCAAATGTCCGACCTATGAACTCTGCCTTGCCCTGAACACCACATTGTGACAACAGACAACAAGGGAAGGGAGTAAGATAAGAAGGTGGGAGGTACAGTTTCCAAGGTTTCTATTTTTAATTAACAGTTGACATGCCATGTAGTGCTATGCTGTTGATGTTATAGGGACTGTGACAAATGCAAATGCAGATCCCTGTTCTGATTGCACAAAAAGTAAACTTTTTTACAAGAGATTTTGTGCATATGGTGGTGTGCTTTTTTAAAAATCACAATATATTCTCTTGTTTACAGTATTGCAACATAAGGAATTGTAACCCCCGTATCATGATATGTATCATATCGCCAGCTTCTAACCAACTAGGGCTAAGATACAAACATCCTCACACTCTATTTAGTCAGCAGGAGAGAATGAGTGAGGTCAGAGTTAATGTGAAGGACAGTGAAGAGTAAGACAAGGGTTGACAAAATATGAAGGATGAGATTCCTTCTCTAGCACTTTTAGTTGTAGAACAAACTAACTCCGTTCAAAAACTGTTTAACATCCATGTATTCATGTACAGGAGGATCCTACCACAGTGTCTTGGTCATAGATTTCAACTACAATGATTGGTGGGTCATCTCTCAGCTCAGTGGCTTCTCCAAATAGCTCCACATCATCAAACACCAGCAGTTCGTCCCATGTAGGACACAGAGTCTCACTCAGGACCTGAAGAGCACAGATATTAACTTATTATCAACATATTGTGTCAATGTAAGTCACACAAACACTTGTTGCTCTCTCACACTGTTTGCCATAGATAGGCACAGACAAATTTTAAACAAAAACACAGATACATTCATGGTCCTACCTCAGTAACCTGACTGTGTGTGGAGAAGAAGACCCGAGCGAAGGGGTCTGAAAGACCACTGCTGTCAGCAGCAAACAGACTGCGGGCCTGGTACATGTGTGCTCTCAGTTGAAACACCTGCTTCACTGTTGGACGCACGCACACATCACATTAACTGACAATCAATCCCCTCTATAAGGAATCTTACTTTATAATTGAGTTCAAAAAGTGAAACACAAAAGCATTCAATAGAAGGCAAAGGCCTCCTCCTGACTGCGTTTGTGTTTTGCTTCTCATTGATTTTAGTTTAAACTAGTTTTAGTTTAGGTCTAGCTTGTTGGCAACTAGGGAAAATATTGCAAGACATCATGTTGAAGGAAAAGCAAAAGAGGCTGCAAAAACTATATATGAAAGAGTTCTTTGTGGTGTAGATTTGAACTACACCTTTAGTAATTTCTGGCATGTACAGTACTTACTGTTGTAGACAAGACTGACAGGGGGGACCAAGTGAAGACTCGGGCCCATTTTAGCCACTTTGACCTCTTCAAAACCATTAGGCAGACCACTGAGGAAGTCCTTCCTTTGCTTGGTGAGACCCAGCCACAGATACAACTCTAGCTTAGCCTGAACCGTCCAGCCTGCAGACCCGAACCCCTTCTTACCAGGTAGCTGTAAACATGGATTTCAGCAGAAGTGGCCTGAACACTGATGAAGAGTGTTTTGGTATAACAATCAATCTAGCACCTGCTATGGATTCAAGTCCCCCTTTGGTACTATTACCACAAGTCAGTCAATAAACATTATGCAGACAATGTTACAACATGGCCCATTAATATTACTATTATCTTTTATTTTCACCCTTCTCTACAGGCAGCTTTCACAGATTTACAGTATTGTGTCTTCATCTCCAATACTAATCATCTCATAGTGAAATAATTACAATCTCTGAAATGAGTCAGCCCACAACTGCACTCTAAGATGTAAGATTTTTAATTTATTTATTTTTTTTACCTCTTTCAATGTGACTACTTAAAACAGTTGAGTATGAGAGGAGCAGGAAGAAATGCTCATACCTTGAGGAAGACTGCTTTGACTTTACCGCAGTCTTTGCCGGTTTCCTCATCCACTATTGAATACAGGATGTCTTTGGAGGGAATCCGGGCGTAAGCAATGCGCTTGTTGTTGCTCATCATCCAGATGAAAACATCTGGGATGCTGTGCTGAGGCTAGACAAAGCAAATGCATAATCCACTGTTTTACATTCATTCTCCAGTTCTAACCTACTACACTGCAAAATGCTGATTATGCAGTAGTACGGTGTAGTACAGTTTTATATTCAGTATCTAGAAGCTGAGTTATGTACATAGATGTACTGAACTGAATCTGTACCTCGTCAGCGAGGAAACGAAGCTTCTGCAGGAAGTTGTGTGCCAGCTTGAGTTTGTCTCTGACTATGTTTTTCTTCACCTGAGTCCGAAGCTGCTTGGCCTGCTGGCCCATGCTATCCTGCAAGAAGACAGTGAAACACAATGTATACACATTTCCTGAAACAACTTTGAGTTCTCCTGCACTTTTACTCTCTATTAGAATAGTTTTCACATTCCCTGTTACACAGTGGTGTACAAGCAAGTATGCAATATAGTATCTTTTCTTTCTAAAATGAAGTGCATATACTCCACAAGCTAACCGCTGGTGCATATACCTGTTCTATCATAATTTTCTCTTTTTCAGCCACCACTAAATCACTGCTGACAATGCTATTGTTTTCCTTCACAACACTTTGCATTTTTGTTGTGTTTCCCTTGAAGCAAATGAAAAGTCTATTGAATTCAATGCAAACTTGAGCCAGAGAGAATGTGAAGCAGTTCTGAGATTGAGATAGCATTGCAAATATATGCAAATATATTGCAAGGGAGGTTCAAAATATTTCAGAAATTACTTTCCTTCCACACACATACAATGCCTACAGTATGTACATACTGTATATATGACAAACATAAATCATACCATCTCTCTCATGCAAGACTTGAGCCTCTCTCGATCCAGTTTGGTCCTGCCTGCCTGGTTCAAGTCCTTGTTAGCCAGAGTCACAAACCGACTGGAAACAATCAGAACATGATAAACATGATAGTGGCTTGAGAAGTTTTATATTTTTCTTCTGTGTTTTAAAGCTAACACAAAGTCGATAGCCGTGAACAACTTTAATTGTTAAAAAACCCCCACTAAAGAACAAAGAGACTGTGTGGTTTCTTTCACCCTGAGAAGTATAATGTGTTTCAGACATGCTTCTGTGCACAGAGCTGCTGATTTCAGTCACTTCTGGAGGTTTGATGAAGATTGCATCAGGTACTAAACCTTTTGATAACTTAATTGTTTTACAGCTCCCACTACAAAGAAACGATCTGTGCCAGTACAGTAGTGAGTCATAGTTTTGATACAAAACCATGAAAAATTGATACTATTATGCAGCTTGCCTGCAGCCGACACTGAGCTCCTCCAGCACTCCCCTGAGTCTGCGCTCTGGAAAGGCCTTCTCCGTCTTAATGATCTCCTGAACATCATTTAAACCCTCTTCCTGTCAGGACACAAAACATACTAGAGTTTAGTGCAGAACAAGCTGTTAGTGATCTATTGTGATACTTTCTACTAATAATATAAAACAAATCAATAATACATAAAATGTAACTCTTACAAGGCCAATCCTGCTTAATAATGCTAAAAATTACTTCTACTACATTTGATATTTTTAGCCAGTTTTATTTAAAAAATATTTCAATTATAAAACTTTCATTTTTAAGTATATTTTTATATTTTAGCATTGCTCTCAATGCTACATTCATAATACAATGACAGTAAAGGCTTTCTTCTTCTTCTTCTAATTACAAAACACTCGAACACTTCCATCTTTAGCCTGCACTTCTACTGTATGTACTACTATACTTACATTAAATCAATAGACAGATCTATATATTATATCTTTATTTTATGTCTGTTATTATTGCTGCTATAGCACATCAGTGTTTTGACCTATCCAGCCACCTGAAACACACTGAGACAAAAAGTGCACACTGCACACAGACCAGCTTGTCAGCGATCTTGTCCATCATGTTAGAGTTGTAGAGTCGTCTTCTCTGGTCCTGCCACCAGCTTTTAATGTAAACACAAGGCTTTTTTTCAAAGTAGGGAAGATGAAAGTAGTTCCTGTAACATAAATGAAAGAAAATACCTAGTAACAATCCAGAGTGTTCGTAGTTTGAAAGGTTTAAGGACAGGTGTGCTATTTTTGCTGTTATAAGAACTGACTACATATCACTGCAGTGCAGCACGTCTGCACTTTACTGATGTTCACTATACTAATTGTGATAGTGGAACAGTTGGCTAAAAATGGCTAACAAAATACATTTCTTAACACCCTTAACCCTGCTCCTGTGACCTTTGATCCCGACCTGTCAGTGATGAAGGGCCTCATGGGTGGCGTGGAAGAAACTGAGACCAGCTCTCCATCCTCGTCTGCCTCATCTTCACTGGAGTTTTGGATGAGCTCGTTCTCCTCCTCCTCCTTCTCCCCATCTTTCTTGTTCTTTTTTGTTGATGAAAGCCTGCTCATGCCATCTATCTGGTTGCCATAGTTACCTGTTACATGGTAGAGCATTCCTCCATTATACTTTAAATCTGTGGGTTGCAGGTCAATATTAACAAGATTAGGAAAAAAAGATATATATATACCAATTGTGATTTCAAAACTAATTGCTTTGTCACCAATCTTCCTGTCTATCATGGTGGCCTCCAGGAAGGAACCAAAGAGGAAGAACTCTTCTATTTTCCCTGTGGCGCTCTGATGGAGTGAGGAGAAGTACAATAAATAAAAATTTTATTCGGCTGCATTCATTTTATTGTAGAGTCTGTAAAAAAAATATAGCAAAAGCTCTTTTATTTCCTATTTCACCATACACATGAAATCTGTATGGTCTCTGAATTACTGAGCCACTACTTTACTCATTAAATTTCTAAGTGCACTAGTGTCCACCATATGCTTTTCTGTGTTTTTCTCATGCTTTTAATTCATTTATGTGATTGTTAACAAAATATAAACTACTAATCATTCCACATTACTCTTTTAAAATGCAGTATTATTTGTAGCAGGTGATCATTTCAGAGGCAAACTAAATCAAGTACAACTGGTGACTGGATTCCAATGACTGCTATTTAAAACTCAGTTCAAATAAACTCTGTACATCAGCCCTTACTCAATAATCAGCATAAACTACTGCGCTGAGTTACTTTGATCTGTGATATAATCAATAAATGGACCCTATATCTGACTGAGGATCCTAAGAGAGACATTTAAATCGCAACAGCCAAGCGACAGAACAGCTGGCAAGCTTGAACCGAATCAATGCTTCAGATTTCCCTGATGAGTAATTAACTACATATGCCAAAAGGATGGTGGCTTGTAGCATTACACTGTTAATTATGAGGTAAGGAGAGGTCAAACAGCTCAGTTTTTCTTTGAATACTTTCTCAGCTAATTTGACCAAAATAGTTTGTGTGATGGAATTTACCTGGCTATGAGTAATTCCATAAAAAAAAATTTTTTTTAAAGTGTTAGCAGTCAAGTCTTCTTACCTCTGAGATGTTAGAGACAGCCTCCACCTGAACATCAGTGGAGCTGATGATCTCAGGTGAGGCAGTGTCCAGGATCTCCACAGTGATAGAGAGCAGGAGACGGGCTCTGAAGGACACGCCTTCTCCAAGTCCCTCATTCAGGTCCTGGTGCTCATCCATCAGTGTGTACTGACGGGTGGAGCCATACATGTTGACCCAAGCTGGGCCCAGGGTGGGCAGGAACCCTGGGGACAGTGGCAGGAAAACAAAATGATGACATGGTAGTCTACAACAGTCAAATTTTTACCATTATTTATGACAATTAAAGTCTTGCAAAGTATCTACACTAAATCTTCCCACTCCTGTCCAAGAAAATAGAATAAAAAAAAATGTCAAAAATATAAACAGACAAAAAGCCAGACAATAGTCATAATATTCATTTATGAAAATTACAGTCCTTACAAAAGAGACTGTGTACTTGTAGTGCTAGTCAGTGTTTATTCAAATCTATAACTAGAGTTTAGAATTGCGTCTCTATCCAGACCACTTAAGAAGGGTCACTAAATATTTCTAAACCTTTCACCAGAGCAAGCAAACTTTCTCCACATATAGTGAACAAGCAATTTGGTTCAGTCACTGATTAAAAGCAGTTGTTTAATCCTTAAAGATTAAAACCATTCGACTATTGTTCTATGCACTCATTATTGTGCTGTGGTTTCAATGAATTGATGGAAAGTTTAATATACATTCATTTCAAGTCAGTTTCAATGTCACCCACTAAACTGATACAGCCATCAGCACAGGGTCAGTCTGGTCATGTGGCTTAATTCACAGTTAAACCCTACATACAGTAAAATATTAGCTACTGTACTGTAGTTTGGACTGATTAATGTATTTAATAGCTACTGTAATCAATGCTAAGACAAACAGCTCACATGGCAACCATGTTTTTTTTTGGCCTACCTTTATCACCATCATTTGATATCTTGCGTAGGTCAATAAAGTAAGTCCCTATGGCAACATCATTGACCTTATCTGAGTCTCGTATCTGGATCTTCAGGCGTCTGCAGAGTGGAGGGAACAGCTCACTGAAAATGATCTGCTCATTCCAGATCGGTTCATAACTGCTCCTCTGGACTGAAGTCTTCCCCTGGAGGCACAGAGAGAAATAACACTCAACTCAGGGAGCTGGAAAGTACACTTTGTGGTGGCCAGTTCCATATTTCTAGTCTTCATCCATAAAAAAAAAGTCTGATAAGTGCTGATTTTATAATATTAACTGTAAATGAGCTATTCTACCTAATAGGTTCCATCTCATCAACAGCAAACGGGGACTACACTAGTTTAGGATTAAACATGAATTGCATAAAGGATAGGTTTCCTTGTGTTTCAAGTGTGTCCTACAGCAATACTCATTTGTCTGCAATCGCTTCTTGTGCCACAAAGCGATCCCTTCTTAAACTAATTTCAGTGTAAGGAATAGAGGACAAACTCTACAGTCATTGAGCTAGACAAAGCAAGTGGACAGCTTCCAAAGGTGCAGCTGAAATAAGTGGGGGAAGGGATGAATTTGTGGCAAGTAAAACCGAAGGAATGATTACACCAACTATACAGACTGTATTGTATTAAAATACAACTGAAAAAGCATGAACCTATACAGGCAACCATAGCCAAACATAATATTCTGGAACTGTCCAAAGGGTTTAAAGAGTAACTTTAATATAAAGCCATAGCACAAACATCCACATACAATCCAACCTACAGTATATTCTATGAGGGCAGTACTGAACCTTAAGGGACTAATAAAAATGACTAGAAACCGGGAACGAATAGCAGAGAGTGTGATGAAGGGGGGAGTTACTTTCTGCCCAGCAAACTGCACTTGAACATAAGGGTCCACCAGGTCTCTGTTCTCTCCTGTCAAGGCTTTTTTCACATTAGCCATGATGTTAGTGTTCATTTTAGGAAGACCCTCAGCGCGGTAGACCTTCACATAAAACCTGGCCCACTGCCTCTCTGCTGGGATGCCCTCTGGGAGCAGGAAGTTTCTGAAGACAAAGGACAGAAGCTCATTCAGAAACAGGACATTTAAGAGAGTACAGTTTGTGGAAAAAAATATTAGGTAGTTATTTAAAAGAGATATTTAACTGGTTTTTAAGAAAAATTCAGTAAACCTTGTATCTATATTCCCTATTACATAGTTACAGTATAAAATATTTATCATTATTCACCATTAAAACAGGTTAATTCAGTTTTTCAATATTTTTATACTTTGACTTTTCAGAGCGATACTATACAAAAGAAATATTTGAAATGAAGAAAATGACAAACTAATCAAGTATATTTTCAGTCTCTCATCTGAAATAATTAGCATATACTGTATATAGTACTGTAATATTGATTATACAATTGTCCATGACAGAATCTTGAATTTTACTTGACCACATTATCTTTCAAACTCAAGTAAATCTGAAGCTGGCACATCAGTAACAACTCGTTACCCTTCTATGTCGTCTTCATTGGTCTCGTTTGCTTTGTGTGGGGTCCTGATGTTGTCACCCTTCCCGACCACGGCAATATCACACTTTATATATCCTTTACATCCAGCTGTGATGTCGTCCGGATCAGACAGGATGGCCCACTTGTGGTAAAACTGGTGTTCTGGGATAGATATCAATCAGCCAGTCAATGAATCAATGACAAAACCAACCAGCGGAGCGTATTTAATCTATGTTCCCTTCAAAATGAACAAAAGACAAACTGTATGTCCAACTGATATCTGACAAAAGAAATTTGAAATGAACTTTAAAACAAAACTATGCATACATGTTATTGGTAGCTGTTAGTTATACTCTTATTGTAGTTTACCAGGCTGAGAGTAAACTGTCCCAACATCCATCTTAAAGGTTCCCACCAAGGTCCCACTCCGAAGAAGGTTTTTGGAGTGAATAACCTAATTACCCAGAAAAAGAGAATAAAGTATTAACATAAAGCCCAAACGTGCTGCTTTAGAAACAGCACTAAATACATAAACCTATGAAAGCTATGAAGAGAGAGATGGCTATTCAAGAAGCTGCATATCTTCAGCCTTTTACATAAACATAACCACTGACTCGCTGAGACCATTAATAAACCTAATTAATGCAATAACCAGCAATATCATTTTACTGCTGCAAAGGGCAGCAGTAATGACACTTCTCTGTACCACAAGTATTAAAAAATTATATCTATTTTTTTTCTAATTAACTTGTAGTAAAATCCAACCTAAAGTGTAAAAGTATGAAACTTTAATAATGTAAAGTTTACAACCATGCACCAAAGTATTTATCAAATAAAGAAAATAGTGATATGTTTGTTTAGCTGTACTGAAGCGTGTACTTTTGGATTACTTACTGAGAGCTTGATGATCTTATCAAACATGACATCAGGAGGGACGTGGAAGTCAAAGACAAAATACTGTGAAAGGAGAGACAAGGTTTCCCCATTTACACCTATTCTCTTATATTACTGGCAAACACATTCTCCTTTTATATTTGCCCTGGGAGAAAATGTGTGAAAATGACATTTAGGTTCAGAAAACATCAATGCAACAACAGAAGCAACAACCAGAAATACAGTAAATCTTATGTCAACCTTGTAGGACATCAGCTGTCTTTGTAGGGCAGAGGGTATCTTGACTAATGATGTGCAGAGAATGTGTACATGAGAGATAGTTTTATGTGAACAGAGCCAGGACACAGCTTGAACTCCTCCAGTTTTCAGTTCTTCAAAGCAAAGAGTACTGAAATTAGAGACTTAAAAAGAAATGGCTGATTTACAAGTCTGCATCAAGTTTTTCTCTGCCTTTGCAGCAGGTGTTCATGTACTGTATGGGTAAAGCTACAGTATACTGTAGCCTATGCAAGGATGCAAGGACAGAAAGGACTGTGATCTCAGTCACTTGGTTTCCAGTTTGTCTGTCCACAGGGGGCTTTCATGCAAACATAAAGAATCGATATTAGACAAACTGCCACTTCTACTCCCAGCAAGATGCAATCCAGGGGTTGAGCTGTGTATGGTCCTCACCACTACTGACCAACAGTTCCTATTTAGAGGTTTTCTCTGCTGTTCTTGAACTCTGCAGGAGCTGCCAAGAAACCTCTACTTAATGGTGTTAATGCAGTGTTTTGAAGTCAGTATGTCAATGCAACATCAGACCATGAAAGAGAGAAGTGACCGCATATAGAGTGCATTTTACTTTGTGCGAGTCAGGGCTGCGCTTTCTCAGAAATCTGCTAGAGTCATATTACAGAACATAATCATATAAGAATTAACAGTTCAAACACTGACATCAGAATTTCTCTTGTTCGATGAATGTACAGTACAATTCATTTTGGTGTCATTGTCTTGAATTTAGTTATGTTTGAGTGTGGTGTGGACACAGACTCGAGGAGAGGAACTGAAGAAAGCAGTTTATTAAATAAAACACAAGTAATGCTGGACGGCCGGAAGACAAACAGGCTGCAGGTGGGCAGGGAGTGCAGGAGGAACCCAGGGAGGGACAAGCAGGAGACCAGAGAGGACCAGGAGGAGACGAGCGGGAAAGCAGAGGGAACCAGGAGGGACAAGCAGGAGACGAGCGGGAGAGCAGAGGGGACCAGGAGGAGACGAGTGGGAGAAAGACCAGGCAGGAACCAAGAGGGATGAGGAGACCAGGCAGGAACCAAGAGGGATGAGCAGGAGACGAGCGGGAGAGCAGAGGGGACCAGGAGGAGACGAGCAGGAGACCAGAGAGGAGATGAGCAGGAGAGGAGCGGGAGAACAGAGGAGACGAGCGGGAGAGCAGAGGAGACCAGGAGGAGACGAGCGGGAGAGCAGAGGAGACCAGGAGGAGACGAGCGGGAGAGCAGAGGAGACCAGGAGGAGACGAGCAGGAGAGCAGAGGGGACCAGGAGGAGATGAGCAGGAGAGCAGAGGGGACCAGGAGGGACAAGCAGGAGACCAGAGAGGAGACAAGCAGGAAACCAGAGAGGACCAGGAGGAGACGAGCAGGAGAGCCGGCAGCAGGAGGTCAGGTAAGATGGGATATGTAGCACTGGCGGCCTGAGTGGCACTGGCAGTTGGAGCAGCGCTAGCCGAGTAGCGGCATGACAAAACAAAAACAGTGAAGGTGGCTGGCTGACTAGACGCAGAGTATGTGAGGCTGCTGAGTTTGCAGAAGTTAACAGAAATGATCGGAACACGGAGTTGAACAGACTGTAAGCTCAGGACACGAAAACAAAACTGGGTAGCATAAATGTCAGGTCGAGGTATCGTATGAACCAGCAAAGAGTGGCGGAAGAACGGGGCGTATATATGTGTAACGGGACCGGGAGACAACGAGCAGCAGGTGGGTGAAATGATGGCTAATTGTGACGGAACAGCAGGGAACAGAACCAGGAGGAAATGAGTAGCAGGTGAATGACATGGTGCCTTATGACGGCGACAGAGTTGCGGGGAGAGAACAAGTAAACAGAAACCGAAATCCGGGAAGCAGAGTGACGTGAAACCGTAACATTAATATTAACCTGTATGAACAGCTAATTTCAGGTGAACCTCATTGTTGGCCAGAATGTGGCTTAAAGCCTCCTGTATCACTTTAATGACTGGAATACCGTATTGGATGGGAAAATGGCATCAACCTTGAAAATAAAATTATTTAGAGTGAAATGAAAATAAACGGGGCAAAGTGAAGTTGACATTTAGAGGTTAGGAACTTAGTTTTTATTGCATACAAATATGTCCATTGCCTTCTTGCAGACTTGATGTTTAAAGCCCAAAAAGTCTTACCTCATTATAATATGGGCAGTTGGTGGATTCCTTCATAGATGTGTACTTCTTGTCATCACCGATCTCCACACACACCACGGGGTCCATATTGAGGCCTATCAGCTGCCGGGCCTCGATCACTGTGATACTGATCTGATGGGTTGATATTTACACATCAGATCTCACTGTGAAAGCCAAAACAAGCCGACTCTCCTCCAACTGCAAGCCGTCCAGCAGCATCAATCATGCAACACTACAGTAATTACCCTGAGACCAATTCATTCATTCAAGTAATCCAAATTGATTTTCACTTTCACAAACTCTAAGGATTCTGATTCCTGGCAGTGAGGGCTTTTGCTAGATGACACTATTTTAGCCTGTGATTTTACTGGCATCTGCCCAGGGTACAGTAATGTAAGATTTAATGGAAAAACTTGATCAAAGTGAAGGGTTTCTACCTCCAAGCAATATCCCTCTGGCTTAACTGTTTTTGGATTGTGAAGAAGAACAGAGTCTGGTGCATCATTTTATTCATAATTTTAATTAAACAGACACAATTATTCTTCTACTTCTTTTCAGTGATGCTGTAGTGAATAAATTAATTGTGATAAAGACAGCAGGCACACAGACTCAAGGATTACACCAAGGTCTTTGAAGCTGTGAGAAGCGCTTGGCTAGTTGTTTCACTTGCTTCCAGTCTTTATGGTAAGTTAAGCTTTTTGCCACCAGGCTCCAGTGACATCAATCTTATGTAACTGTGTATTATCCAAAATATCAAGCTAAGGATACCTCTATCTGGCAATACTCTAAAGAAACAGAATTTGTGCATCAAAGTTAAATTTTAGCTTTTTCCTTTTCTTTATGTGTTATAGAACATAATAACACACATATCAAAAACATACATATACTATAAATGCTCAGATGGTTATGATGTAGCATTACAAAAACAAGCCTCAACAGACACAGACACAAAACACTAACTGATATCACACCCAAACACTGATGCAGCAACCTGCCTACACAGTACAGGTAGAAACGCACACAAGAGTTTCACTTGCCTAGACAAACAACCACACACACACACCTGATAATCCACTGGTCGCCCAGAACTTGGTTCCATCTTGATATCTGGCTTTGACCTGAAGAAAGACCACACAATCAGTGATTTTTCAGCAGTGGGTTGACAGAAGGTGGAATAAGTAAGGATTAATAATGGTAGAGCTGTGCACTTAGCTTCTATTTATTGACCCATCAACAGTCTGACATGCACGTTACTGAAAGAGGCCACGAAGGCATGGCGCTTTAACCTCCTGTGTGCTGATATGCATATTTGAGTCTACCAGGTGTACAATATCTGTGTGCATGTGTGTGTCAGTATGAAACCTCTTATTGGAGACGTTGGTGGTGACAGCAGTGACAGAGGCCAGAGAGATGGTGTCTGCCTCCAGTGTGCCAGCAAGACGCATCGCCTTCCTGTCCAGGTCCTCCATGTCCAGGATTGCTGGCTCATCTAGACAGTTGAAGAGAAGCAAATCAACAAGGTACTAAGTAATTAAGTACTAAGACAAAGGCTGGATATTGTTTTATTGCTTGTCTTCATGTTGGGAAATAAAATTTACAGACAATATATTTTAATAGGTAATAAGTATTAATATGATTTTAAAAAAATTTTATAATTAAAAAAGTAGGATTTCATATGAAATCCTATTTACTATCATCTATTTAGAGACTGTTTTCATCGTGACTCCAGTGATACTACAAGTTCTATAGCCAATTTTTATTGCCTAGTTACTTTTCACCCACCCTGTATATCAGATCATTAATTTAGGGTCAAACAGACTTCATCTTTTGTGTTTTACCTCCTTTCTTGTGATCATCTTTAGAGTTCTTGATCTTGCCAAGCTTCATGGCTGAGAAAACACTCTTCCCGGCTCTGAGGGAGGAGATAAAGAAAGCAGATGAGATGAGGGAGGAGAGGGAACTGATATCATGAAAGTTAACTTGTGTCTGACCCACTACTGATCTGTCCTCAGATCAACATACTCCTTACTTGTCCGATTAATGTAACTCTCAGACAGAGAGTGATTACAATTACATGCAGACCTCGACTTCAGCTGAAAGCCCTGCTGCCTATCCACAGACATGATCAAAATGCAACCCAGTACTATAATGTCCACATCATGGACATCTTTGTACCTCGGCTAGACATTTCATTGCAGACCCTCAATCACAAAACAAGAGTATCCGGTGTCTCCACATTGAAATTATCTGGATCGCATGTCACTGCAACAACAAAGAGCTTGTGATGTCATCAGTGGGGCAACAAATGAGGGGCCTTAATAATTAAAAATGAATATGACCGTCCAATTTGCTGTGGATATGGCTAAATATCAGGAAATTAATGAATAGGAAGGTTTTCGTTTCCTTAAGCATTCAGAGTCGACTGTGTCCGAGTTCAGATTCTGCTTTGATCTTCCCTGTTACTCTAGAGGCAACCTTCAACTCATTTCAGCGAATACAGAAATGAAAAGTATGTCAGCATCACATTTGATAGGTTCATGTTAAAAGTAAAAGCCTGCAGCATGATAAAGAGGAATAACAGTCAAGAGTGAGGACCCGCTAATCAAAGTAAAAGTAAAAAGCTTTTCTAGTTCAATCAAATCAAGGTCATTATGCTCCCCAGATTTCCAGTCTTCATCAGGTCTGTAAAACACAGTTTGACCAGAATATTTTCAGCTGATGGGAAAGTTTATTGTATCAAAGAGCATGTCTGAAAAAGAAATCAGTTAACTGATTGACAAAAAGTTGTTTATTAATCATTTAGGCCATTTAGACATAAGCATAAAAAACTGAATACAGTAACTGAAAAATAACAACAATTTACAATTTTACAACAAGGTACCAAAAGATACACACACATAATGTGCACACTATGTAAAAAGTTTTTTCATACATACCACATAAAAGACACAACTGGTCCTACTGGACTCCACAGAGAGGTTGGAACTCTGCCCTTCTTTCAATCTTAAACTATATTTCCATATTCTCCACCAAGTCAAGCTAGTACAGACCAACCAGGCAGAGCTGCCAGACAGAGTGGGTGATGAAGTAATGAGGTGGAGCGAGAGGACGGGAGGTGGAGGTGCATGGAAATGCAAACAGAGGAAGAAGAGGAGAAGGATGGAGGGGTGGGGCTCTACACACCACCAAAAAAAGACAAGAGTCCAAGCAAATCCAGATGGCATTCAAAGTTCAAAACAAACTGACAAACTTCTTATAATATTGGACTGTGATATTTCTCTTCATTCCAATGGCAACTGTGGTGGGAGCTGATTTACAGAGCATTCAACAAGTCCTCTTGATGATCAATTATAAAATAGGGTGTTAACCAGTCCTTCTCAAAGGGGCCTTTATCGGTTAGTGTACAGAAGACATAGGAGGACGACATGCATCCAGCTAATAGGCTTTTCTGGTGATAAAGAACTTTACAGTAGAGAGAACAGTTATGATTTACACAACCCCAAGAGACAGGACAGGAGAACGCACATACAGTCATTTAAGTTACTTGAACAAATGGCCAATGCTGTCGTTTTTTTGGTGAGGAGACGCTGTCACAGCTGTAGGCCTTTACTAGGTAAAGATTAAGTTCCAGTCTAAAGAAGAAAGTCATTAGAAATTTAAAGGAAATTAAAGCTATCAAACATTATACTTTAGTTCTCTTTCACTCAGTTCACACTTTTCCTTTTGTTTGCTGGACTGAGTTAAGAATGAAGACAAGGAAAGGAAAAGGAAAAGGAAGCCAAAGGAGTGACATTAGAGACAAATGCTTCCAGCGGGAGGTCACGTCCGAGTTTAAAGCGAGACAACTCCTGAAAGTTTTCACTTCTTTTAACAAGCCATCCCTCTATGCAAATTTAATGATGAAATGTAACCTTTCAAAGAAAGTTCACAAGCGCGGGTTTCCAATTAGTGTAATGGAAACATGCAAATTCACACTGTACCCTAAAGTTTTCTAGGTACAACTCACAAAATGTCAAACTTTAAAAGATTTAACTTGTTGAGAAATGGAAGCTCAGAAATTCAAGAGGGTTATTTTCTCTTACTTTCTTTGCATTTTATCTTAAAAAACAAACAAATACAAATACATCAGTGACTATTTGCTTTTGAACAGTAACATCGACACTCTGCACATTAACCAAACACAAAAAAGCTCATTCGAACTTTGTAGATAAGGAAGTCAGCTAGTCTAACCAAAGCAGAGCTATTCCCAAGGTTCTTCACCACTACCTGGCAGCTTGATTTCCATCTTCTCCATAAAACAGGGGTCTCAAACTGTGCATAAAGGACTTTCTTCACAATTATGAATTCATCTTCAACATGCCTATATATACATACTGTATATTTATACAGAGTATGTGTGAGTAGTGTGTGAGAGAGAGAAGAAATATTTATTCTGGATGATTTGCTCAATCGATATAATTATATTAATCTAAATAATATCATCTTTATAATAATTAGAATCTCACACAGTATGTGTCGCCAAAGCAGAGATGTCTTCTTCATTTGCTTGCATGGTCTTCATTCCGTTACACTTTCTCAGCCGCTGTACAAAACTCCCACATGGACGAAAGTAAACGAATAAAGGGACAATATAAAATAGCCCGGCAGTGATCAATAATTCATTGACATATTCTGTACAGGCTCTGCTGAATGAAATGCTCTACACACAGCTGCTCTCTCTCTTTCTCCCTCTCACACACACACACAACTTGGATGCTCATATTTCTGAGCTTCCAGGATCCCCTGGACTGAAGCCAGACAAAGATTGGCTCTACATGAAAACACAGCTGGGGAATGAAAACTCTCACTAACCCAGGACTCTGTCTGAAACCTTATTGAACGCTTTGCAGTTGTCTCCTGCTCTCTCTCTCTCTCTCTCAATACCTGAACTCTTTCTTTGGTAGATTTCTTCTTCTTCTGCTCTGGGTATTAAATAATGTTTTTCCAACACCCTGTTAAGGATAATAACAGAACTAACATGAGCGTGATGGAGATGTCAGACACGCAGTCCTGAAACGAGGTGTCATCAGGCAACACAAAGAAAAACACCTTTGTGTTTGTACAGGGCCTTTAACAACTTAAACAAGAAGAAACAATATCTACTATATTTTAGATTAATATATCTAGACTGAATATGAATGTTTCCCTATTGGAATATTTACTGTTATGAATGTTTCCACAGGGAGTCAGTGCTGCAGTGAGCAGCCCACTGAGAATAAGACAAGTGAGATGAAAGTCTACAGGACACCTGGAGCATACTGCTATGTGATGATAGGTCACAGACGTGTGAAGCCAAAGTTGTCTTTGAAGAGACGGCAGTTCACACTGACAAACAAATGAATGACACACTTCAAAAAAATCATAATACATAAATCAACACTACATTATCCTTTCAACAGAAGCTTTGCTGAGGCTGAACTGTCTCCTTTGACAGCAGATCGGATGTTATGCAAATGAATCATGCACATTTAAGTGGTTAGAATAAACACAATGACTATTTACTGCAATATGTTTCAGTGGTGCAAAAGAGATTACATTTTTTAATGCAAATATCCAGTTTTGTTAGCTGTGCAGCAGTGTGAACCTAGGGTCATACCCCAGTGTGGATTCCCATTTCATCTCATTGTTACCGTTTGATGTCCAAAGATCAAATAACAACCTTAAATCTATTCTTCTTTACATTTACTATTTGTAAAACCACGCAAGAGTTGACTAATTTATTAGAAACAATGAAAGCCCCGAGAAGACAGCTCATTGTGGTGTTACAGTACAAAATGTTTTATGGGTGCTGCCATGAAGACCTGAAGACAATGTGGAGTGAGGTAGAGGAGAGGTGGTTGTGTGTGGGGGTGGGTTGGGGGTAGGGGGTCAACTTGAATGCAATTTCACTCAGTTAACAGGACGAGGAGGAACCAATATGCCTTAACAAGCCACCTACGCTCTACTGCAGTGATACTGTAGGGATATAATGAAAGCTGATGGCCAGTGAAAACTGCAGAACACAAACACTTTTGTAAGGAGCACACATGACCTTTAGGCTGCAGCAGTGCATGGAGCTGATGCATGGTGCTGCACATCATATAGAACAATTATGATGCCCAAGATGGGAATACTTTATAAAAAAAACATTATGTTTGCATGTCAAATTAAACTCCTGTTAGTTCATATTCTCAGAAACACTAGTGGCAGCTGATGATAAATGCCTGGGAGGGACACATAACCGTCCAAAATATTATGGTGACACAAAGCCACACACCAAAAACAGGTGAAAACAGATGGATGGGAATCTAACTGGAAGCTGTAGAGGATAACTGCATTTCATTACCAGAATATCGACAATTAACACTGGTCATAGAGCATCAGATTTGATGACACAATGAAATATCTTTAGAAACTTCCATTCAGGGGACCTCTCAACCAGAGACACACCAAGCACCTGGTAATTCAGGATATAAAAGCTTTCAATGTTGAATGATGAGTGGCAAGGCTATTCAAAATCTTTCAGTCCAATCAGTTTGGCCAATAGTATGTTAGATGGACTAGTTGGCTGGGCTGAAAGCTATCAGTATGTTCTCAGCAACTCATTTACTTTCTCCCCCAAGATAAAAGCCCCACAGCAGTCTGACCGACAGCTCTGTGCTACTGCTACATGACAGATGCTCTCATTAAACAGCAATAAGGACAGAGACTTATTTGACTGAAAATGGTGAATATATGTATATTTTGTGCTAAAAATATACCATAATTAATAATCTGACATTCCTGTACTCTAGTCTACGCTATACAGTAGGTTCACGCTGAATGAATTTGGTGATTATGTTCAACTGAATTTTATTGAACCTTTTATATTATAGTATTTCTCCACAGCAGAACTTTCTTTGTCGACCAAATCCAAATACTGTATCTGTTATATAACACCCATAGGATGCTAGAAAACTTAAATTAGTCAACTTTTCTTGTTTCCCTTAGGCTGCTTTAACTTTTTTATTGGCAGGCTGAACTGTTTTTAATACTGCGCTGTAAGACAGTGCAACTCACAGTTTGTGTTCAGTGTAAACAAACAAAAAGATGTAATTGACACCATTCAACCACACACACACACATTCAACATTCAGTTGTAATGATGGATTTAGGGGGTCTAGCTATGCAGATAGTCTCAGTGGATATCATACCACCCACAGATTATTTCACATAATATTCAGCAAAAAAAAACCAACAAAACAAAATAAAACAAAAAAACCACACAAACCACAGAGGAAGTAACCCGTTAGAAGCAGCAAAAAGCACCTTGTAGGACAGATGGTCTTAGAGTTTATCATTCTAAATCTTTATAATCTTGTGCAGCCAGGCATAACTTCTCTGTTCATAGAAACTCCCATATGCACTCTATTCGGTATAAACAGGCCACACAAGTCTGCTTCATTTAAGCTGACAGAGTTTGAGCGAAAAGCAAGATTTTCATCCACACAATGCAAAAATAAAAAAATACTGACTGCACTTTTTTAAACATTAGTCATGAAACTGACAGCAACGATGTTTTTAGCAACTAGGCTCAGACACATTTCCATGTCTCTATACTCAAGTTAAGCAGAACTGTAATGCATCAAATGCAAATCTTTATGAGATAATAATGTGAACAGACAGGTTTTTTTAATCTAATGTTGGCTGTTTTCATTAAACCTTTGCACAAACATTGACCACGACTGTATCTTTATCATACAGTTAAATGTTTACAATATGTTGTGTGCTTCTCACTGTGGTCACATCTGTATAGCTGACGTCAGATGACAAATTTGTAAGAAAATATCTGCTCTTAAATGTGCTTTTTTAAAGCATTACATTATTAAACTCCTAGCATGTTATTTGGTGTGTCAGCTCACTGTCAACAGGATTCCTGTGCACCACCCTCTGTAATAATGACAGATGCTACATCAGATGGACGGCATGAGGCCTCAGTGTGCAAATGCTGGATCCATCTGTTAAACTCAACCCATTCATTTTCTCACCCATTTGTGTCTCAGTAGTGCTGTTACTGTTAATGATCTCTTAACAGCAACATATTTTGTTTGCTAATGTGGAGAGTCATAATCTAGCTGTCATGGGGATGTATGTTTCACTCACTTTCGGAAGGTTGGTATGGATCCTTGCAAGGCTCGTCCAGCAGACATGCCTGACCCGCGACTTTGTCCAGATAACAAGCTGTCTGTTTCAAAGGCAAACATCCCATCACGGTCATCAGGAACACCCAGGAGCTCCCCGTCGCTCCACACCCCCATAGTTTCATCCATTGGCTGGTATCTGATCTCTAAGGTAACGCTGGTCTGAAAAATAAATATAATGTTGATGAAAATGCATTTATATTATATTCAAAGCATCTGGAGGAAACCTCATTTTATCTTGATGCTTAAACATTTATTTTTAATAACAATAGCAAACAAAAATGTATCATACTGATTTTGGTTAGTACAGGCAACAAACTTTAGCAGGACCAGAAATCTTCTTCCTGGTATTTGCTGGAATAATTCAGACTGACAGCATCTGTCTAATGCAGGCCAGAGACATGGTGGCTCTGCTGACTTCTGGGGAATGTGTTTGAACAAACATTAGCCTCCTGACAATGACCTGAATTTTGTTATCGTGTGGCCAATTTATTCTCCTGACAAAGACAGATGAGGAGAAAATATAACCCACGGTTAACTTAGTCCTTCGCTCCTACAACTCTCTCTTTGTTTCTGTCTGGTCATGACATCTTTGCAAGGCAATCACTGTAGTCCACAAGGAGTTCGATTTGTTACTATAGCAACCACACCAATGTAGAGTTCTAAGAAAAAGAGCTGCTCTCGTGTTACAATAGGTTTAGTTTTACCCATTTCTTACTATGGGGATGTACAGTTGTGTGCACGCTGATGTGTGTTCATGAGAAGCCGCTTGCACATATGTTGGTGTATGTGTGTGCATGTGTGTTTAAGCCCTAAAGCACTGCCATGCTGTGTGCTATCATCTCAGAAACTGCACATCAGCACTCCCAGCTCCACTAACACAGTTCTACACCCTGGGGTGCTTTAAAACCTCATCTGGTTAAGTTCTCCCTCACACATCCTATTGTTCTACCCTCGATTTCCCATATACATCCACTCTCTCATTATGTATTAACAGGCAAAATCCTCCTCACACTCATCTTCACCACTGAGCTGTTCTCAGTTTAGCAATTCCAAACACAATTTCCATTCAGCAGAGAATATCAGGATTAATGTTAATGGAAATAATCCTGTTGTGTTCATGTTGCTAAAAGATTGTTGTTGTAGTTCGATGAAGTCGTATTGTCGATGTGCACATTTTAAATGGCTATGCCTTCATAGGCCAGATGATAGCTGTTCCTTCTCCTGTTGCCACCACTGCAGGTGGAAGCTTGATTTAATTTTCCTGTCTTTGCTTGTGAATGCGTTTTGCTGACAAATAAGGTTCATTTTAACTGTTGCATTGTAAGGTACAGTATGTCATCTTATTTTATAACAAATACCAGTTTGATCTAAGCTTTTCTCCTTTAACCTTTTTTTTGAAAGTAGGGTAAAGTTAAAATAAATCCTCTTATTCTACTGATATCACTTTCTCCCAAGTTCCTCACCAAAGCTATATGATGTTTAGACTGAATGGAACATTCAGTGCTCAGGCTGGAAATGATGACAGAGCACTTACTGTAGAGTGAACTGAAACGCTTCAGGTTATAAAACAAAAACAAGGAGTTAAAAAACAACGTAAAGGTTTGCACTGACTATATTGATTAACTGAACAAGCAAATGAACAAGCCTGGAAATGTTGTGAAATCTCATCACTGAGCGATGAGTTATGAACCTTCTCACTTTGTAGCCCCTGTAGAGTGCTGACACTCCAGTGTGACAGCAGTGTTACCTTTATCGACGTGTTGTTGTCATCGATGAGTGTGTCGGTCAGCTCTAGGTGTCCCTCTTCAGCCACCTTCTGAAGAACCATACAGAATGTCCCCACCAACCTGCAGGAGAACACCAATGGAGAGCCAAAATCATGAATTACATCATTATAGGGAATTAGGTGTTCTTGACATTTGTTCCTCACTTGTTTACCTCTGTGTAAATCCAAAGTTGTTTTTAGCCACCGTCACAGTCATTGATGGATATCTGCTGTGACATACTGAGAGAGTGTCCTACTGCCTTTGTCATCAACCCATTATAATCTGTCACATCTCAGAGCCATTTAAATGAAGAAGACAGCAACTCATGTACACACACATCAATAACTTATCATTTTCATCTAGCTTCTCCTCTGGGCCACACAACTGTGAGAAGTGCACATTTATTGCAAAGAAATCAATTCCCACACTGAGTGGGAATTGATTTCTGTGGCTATTTATTAATGTGGAACTGATGTGAAGAATCCAAGTTTCTGTGTAAGAGTAAATGTATTAGTTTTCATGTGGCAAAGGCAATGATTATCAATTTCAGTAAATATGTAACTTCTGTATTTGCATAAACATAAATACTTTCTTAAAGCTTTTACCATTTCCTGAATTTCACAATAATATACTCTTTGCACAATGCGCAAAGGAAGAGTAATAAAATGGAGGCACTGTTCATTAAATCCAGTGCTTTTCTATAATCTTTCCTTAATAAACAACACCTGAGGAAGCACATAAGAACCGGACTCACTGATTGTTGTCATTACATACAGTATACTGTATCAGTAGACATAAGGTTCATGTCTGTGCTGTCCAAAGGCCCTTCATAGGACATATCAGTGAGAGGAAACCCAGTACAGATGCCATTCACCTAAGCAATTAGAGCTGGTGAATAATTTAAAGAGTCTCCCCACAAACAGTGTGCTGTTTGCAGAGCAATCAGTCGTACACAAAAAAACACGCAGTGCAACCCACAATGGGCCACAGTCAAATGTCTTTTCTATTTACACACACACACCTCAGTCACATTTGGACTGCAAATACAGCTGTGCTTTAAATTCAATACGTATTCAAATTAAGCATGAGAATCAGTGGAAAAAGCAGACACACAATCACTTTGGCCACGTACCACAAAGCAAAATTAGTGGCTCAGCTCAGGTCGTCTGGTATCACAAAGCTGACTCGCTCTTAATTAGGCTACATCACCATGGTAACTTATGCTGCACAGCTAACTTGATCTGGAGCAGGTCGACTTCAGAGGAATGGATTCAAACCTGTCCACTGACCAATCAGGATCACTGGAAAACCTGAATGATCATTCCCACTGGATCACGACAGGGGCAGAGTCTACATTAATGCGATAAGTAGGCTATTAAATAGACAGTCCTATCGAGTCATATCGTAGTGCTGTTTCAGGCTTTCCATGGATCACTCTGGTTTAAAGCAGAGTTTCTAATAAGCCGAGGGAGTCTACAGCCGCCATGATGATCAACACCGTGTTCTAAACACACAAAGGTTATTTGATTCCCGACTGAATCGATGTATATACCGGCTCCATCTCTGCAGCTCAGAATAACATGAGGAGACTCTTTGATGATGGTCTTTTATTAGAAAAATAATCAAAACACTTAAATATTTCCTATGGTTATAACTGAACATATGACTGCAGGTGTAATTCCTCTCCACTGTCCTCTCCTCCTCTTTCTGGCAGCAGAAACTGTTTCTTCATCATCAGACAAAGAGGAAAAATAATCATTGACTAAGAATGCTTCTTATTAACATCTCCACCTGTTTCACATGAACGCAGACATAACAGACATAGTTGATAACTGTCTTTGTGGTACCAGTTATCCAGGCCGACTGATGTTAGGCTCAGTGAAGCCAGAAAACCTCAAGAGAGCCAGACTCGCTTTGTGGTACAGGCCTCAGGCTGGCTATGAGTCCACAGGGAGACATAATATTACAAAACAAGAGTACTACTACTACTTAGCAAACACACACACACACACACACACACACACACACACACACACACAAAACAGGTCCACAGAAACGAACAATCAAACGAGAATGAGTGCAGTAGAAACAAACACGCACATTGCACACAATCACACCTGCACCTCAGCATGAAAAACCAACAAATACTGATTAAATTCATAACCAAAGAATAACAACACGACTTCTTATCAGGAAGAAGTGCATTGTGTATCGCCTGCATTTACAGTATTCTTCCTCTCTCCCTGGATTAATCTCTTTCTCTCTCCACTTATACCTTTTCTTTCCTTTGGAGTCAGTGGTGATGAATTCAACCTACACTAGAAAGTGAGGCAACATTTGTCAGCAGAGCTTCAAAACTTAATAATGAGGTAAATTCAGACTTCCAGAAATTGACTTCACCTTAAATCACAGTTATTTCAAAAAAAAAAAAATGTCCTTCCCCTCAGGATATAAAGTAAATGCTTTGCCTGCAAAGCTGCATATCTGCAGCTCCACACACAAATTTACAGTCTTGATGTGCCTCAAAAGAAAGTCTGCAAGGCTATTGATGGTTCTGTTCTGTAAACCTTTTGCTAAAAAAGACAAATAGAAACTTTTGCACTGAAAACACTAACCCATGGCAGTGTACCCCACTTTTTCAATATCCAGACAGTGGTGATCAATATCTCCTTTGCAAATGGTCTGTCATTTCTTTTCAGCCATTGTAATGTGTGGACAAGTGCTGAATAATTGAACTCAGCCTGACCTATCATGTTCTGGCTCACTTTTTAACACTTCAAAAGGTGGCATCTATTATTGATTTAGTTCAATTTACTTTCATTGACTCCATAACTGAGAGCTCCCTTCCCTTTCCATTTGCATTGTTTTTCTTTGTGAGCCTTAAGTTTCTTTTGTAAATTTAGGTGTGACGATGTCAAAATCCCTGGCTCAGTTGAGCAGAGCCCCACCAGAGACATTTGAAGACATAAAAATACAGTGCGACAACACAATGTTATATTACACTGCCTTATGCTGGTTTACAGTTTACTTGCCCCTTGCATGGGGATATGTACATACACACTGAGAGCCAATGTACCAGAGTCAAATTCCTTGTGTGTCCAACACACTTGGTCAATTAAGCTGATTCTGATTCTGTGCAAAAAGTCTTCCACACAAACTGAAGTTAGTCAGTTAGATGACATAGCTCTTGCCTCCAGTACTACTGAAAGGAACCTTGGAGTCATCTTTGACCAGGATATGTCCTTTAAATCACACATAAACCAAGTCTCTAGATCTGCCTTCTTTCACCTGCGCAATATTGCGAAAATCAGGAGCATCCTGTCTCAAAGTGATGCTGAAAAACTGGTCCATGCATCTGTTACTTCCAGGCTGGACTACTGTAACTCTTTACTATCAGGATGTCCCAGTAGTTCCCTAAAAAAGCCTCCAGTTAATCCAAAATGCTGCAGCCAGAGTACTGACAGGAACTAGCCAGAGAGATCATATCTCTCCCATATTAGCTTCTCTCCACTTAAGACTTTCCTTTTTGTTATAGTTAGGGCTGGATCAGGTGACCCTGAGCCCTCCCTTAGCTATGCTGCTATAGGCCTAGGCTGCTGGGGGGCCCCATGATGCTCTGAGTTTCTTTCCTCTCCTCTCCTCTCACCTCCTCTCCTCTCTCTCCCTATGCTTCTATATGCCACCATTACACATTACTAACTTTGTGTCTCCTCTCTCCCGTAGTGTGTCCTCTCTCTCTCTCCCTGTACTTTTCTGCAGGTTGTCCTGGCCCTGGAGCTCTACATCTCTGACGAGCAGTCACCAGCCACATCGACCTGATCAGTGTTTGATTGTTTGTTGTCTTGTTGCTTTTCTTCTTTTGTCTCTCCTCTATCCACTCACCCCAACCGGTCGAGGCAGAAGGCCGCCCACCAAGAGCCGGGCTCTGTCGGAGGTTTCTTCCGTTAAAGGGAGTTTTTCCTCCCCACTGTCGCCAAGTGCTTGCTCAAGAGGGATTTGTTGGGTTTTCCCTATGTAATAATATTGATAACAGTAAGATCTAGACCTTACTTTGTAAAGTGTCCTGAGATGACTTTTGATGTGATTTGGTGCTGTACAAATAAAATTTGATTGATTGATTGATTGATTTCAACTGTTCCACATCTCCAGAGAAAAAATGGTTGGACTGAGCACAACCACCACATTTTAGCAACTTGAAAATGTATTCAGCCTCTTCCCCTTTAGGCTGTTTTTGTATAAGCTCTGTGTACTAGCATAATTAGTCTTTACACACACACACAGCTGGAGATCCTGAGGCCACTAAAAATGACACAACAACCCTACATTGAAACAATGGAAGGAGCTGTGTTTGTGGGTTGTGCTGCTTCAGGAACCAAGAAGAGCAGAAATAAGTTTCAGGAATTAAAATGGAACGATGGGTTTGATGGCTTATGAAACAGCAGAGGAGTATAAATTACCTTGAGACAGGATTCTAATACCCAATGTGATGAGTGCTGGGTAAAAAGTAGACATATAGCATTCTTGTTATGTAACGTACCAGAAATATGTGTTTGTATGCATTTGACTGTGGTTGTATCTAGGCTTGAAATGTAGACTTCAGACTTCACAAGCTTGTTACTGATAATAAAAAACATGCAATTAAAAAATATATTTAATAACCCCAATTCCAATTTCAAGGGCACCCTGATATTCCTCCATGGACACCCTGGGAGTCACTGACCTCAGTGAAGACCTTGAATAAACAATCATACAGCTCCTCCTGTTGCAGTGCTTAGTAACTCAGACACAACGTACTCCACAGTGTGCAGAATATAAAAGCATCTCTCTCTGAGCCAAAGGAGAAACAGACAATAGAACACGAGTTATATGCCATCATACGCTGGTACCTTCTCTTTATTTTGTGGTAATGTGATCACATGTGGGGTTGGAGGACGTGACACACTGGCCTTACAGTGTATTGATAACTACAGTCATGAAGCAGATCAGTTACCATGGAAATGATGCAGCCTGTGGGCATATGAAGCAGGTGTAAGAACAACAAGCTATGACGCATGTTGAATTATTTACCTACATAAATATGTGCTGGGTCTAGCCACAGGGGTTTCAAACCAGTGACTTCTGTGCTGGTCCCAAGTCCGGATAAATAGAGAGGGTTGTGTCAGGAAGGGCATCCGGCATAAAAACGTGCCAAATTTAAACATGCGAATTGTCACTGTGACTTCCATACCCGATTGGTTGAGGCCTGGATTAACAATGACCACCACCAGTGCTGT